AGAACTGTATAGAAGTTGTTTGACCTTGTTTTCGCAACTTGGCCAAATTGGTAGGAAGACTTAGATGAAGGCACCTTGTTCTGAGTCCATTGTATGCATAATCATTTCCAAAGTCGGACCGTGGACGCGATAGATTCCCAGACGTTTCGCCGGCATCGTCAGTGAGCACCATTCTTAGCACAAGTCGTCAAAGAGACAAGTGAAGCCGATCCTTTGACAAAACGTGTGCTAAACAGTTGTGGTATCTCGCCTTCTGCCGTGGCCTATTCACATTTCCTATCTCTTCCAATCACGCCTTCACTGTCACAATATTTTACTTGCTTTATTAAATGTGGTACGGTGTGCCCTTTTTTTAGCGAAAACAAGGTCAAACAACTTCTATATAACGGAAGGAGACTGCGACCACAATAAAAGCCCCACCATCTTGGTCTTCCATACTTTCAAAAAAAGACTGTAATTAAAGTAAAATAACGAAAAGCGAAAACCGAAAGATACGCCTCAGAGATGCTGTGAAAGGATGGGCATATTTCGATGTAAAGAGAGTTTGGGTCTCGAGGAAATTTGTCGTTTGTGATTGTTGAGCTCATTTCCAGTTTAGAGTACATTTCTCGTGAAACTATTCAGAAGTCGATCCCACCTGAAGGCGATTGCGGTTTCATCTTGACGAGACGTCGATTGTCTTCAATGGAATATTCTGGTTGGCACCATACCAACCGGTGAAAACTTGCAAAACCCTCTATTTTCATATAGCCAGCAGCATTACAATAAGCAATCATCCTGACACCAAAATGCAGGCTTATGAATCAAGAAACCTCCCCGCTTATCCATAAATGCTGTATCTATATATACCCGATATCTCAGCTCTTTAATGGTGCGTAAAGTTATGCGATTATTTCATATGAAAGTGCATGAAGAAGGACTCGTAGTTCGATCTGCAGAACAACGGGATTCATCCGTCCTCTTCTGGTGACATCGAGCTACGAGTCTTTTCTTCATATATTTTCGTACCATATGAAATTTCACCCAACAATGTTATCTCAGAAAATTCATCGAAGCCCAGTTCCTCTTCGTATTTCAAGCCGGTTCAAACGACGGCTAGTCAAGCAGAGTCCGCCGTTGTCTTCCCGTCGAACTGATCTGCCGAGCTCTTTACCAAAGACTTTCACTCGAAATATAAGTCAGCTCAACAACTATTAATATCATGACATTCCTCGAAATCCAGCATATCATTTCCTTCAATCATATGCTAGCTAGAGTCAAGAAAACTCCTGCAAATCTATCCACCAAATGAAAGTGAGCTTCACATAGTTTGATGGGTCAGCTGCATGCAGCGGCAAATGGGCACGAAACGTTGGAGGATATCTCGTGGACTGCATCAACCTGAACGTCGTATTAAGTCCAAACGGCCTCTTCTGATGAGACTGACCCACGAATCTTTTCATCATGTAATTCCGTACGAAATGAAAGTCTTGAAAAGAACAAAAAAACCTTGTAGACGCATACAAGCAAGTCAAGCCTCGAGTAAACCACACAAAAATCTAAGCTCCAAATGATCCAGGAAGCCACTATAGCCCATGAACTCTCTTGTCAAATTTCGTTTTAAACAAAAACTACTGAAGGTTTTATACTGACTTACTCTACAAACAGTTTAATTACATCTCTCGTCACAACCGGAAAATAAGCGATCATCTCTCAACTCATGCGACGCCACTTGGAGCATTAAGCCTCTCTGTTAAACCAACCAGAACGTAGCATTAAAAGTACACAAAAGTATGTTGAGCCAAAGGCTTTTCAGACTAGGGACTCTTCTGTATCATTCCAGTTGCGCCATCTTCTTTGCTCCCACACTGAGATTCGTCGATTGTCACCTTTCTTCTTCCATACAAGCTAATCCGTGACCCGTTTTCTCGCTTCTCTACACAACACCAGGCAATTCTATGCTCTATTGAACACTTAGATCGCTAATACTTGCATTGACCATATTCGCTTTTTGGAACCTTTCTCATGGTTAGGTTCCATACGCACTTTGAACAATTTAATCTCTTGGAATATTCTTGGTTAAAGGCAGCTTTTTATTATTAAGGCGTAGTCAGAGCCAAGCTGTCCAAGTGCCTTGATCAGGTATCGAACAGGCTTAAGTCCAGCATCCTTGAATGTGTGCTATTGGAAGTAAATCTGGAAAAGTTTGATACTGAAATCTTAGCCATCTTCAGCCCGATGATTGGGAAGATACAGAAATGAGAAGACATCACTAAACCTTCTTTTCAAAAGGGTTTGCCCATCCAGGTCGGATCAGTCTCCACCAGGCATACCGACAAACCATAATTGTTCAAGGCTGCAAGAATTTGGTAGTTTTTTTGGCACTTTGAGTGTCAAAATCACCAAAAGGTGACATTTTATCCGGTAAATTGAGCTATTCGTTTAAATATTAGTTGACTCAATAAAATAGTTAGGTCTACTCATTTCGTTGTGGGAAATTGGGATATTAGCACTTAAATCACCTCAAGCGACCTGGGACGGTTAGAGTTTTCATTAAAGATATAGTTATATATTCAAAACCCACTTAGTTAGTATATGCTATGAGAAAATCAGTTCTCGTCACTCACCTACAGAAGGATCAGGAATATTTTTTCTACCAATAAAGGCAAGTTTGGGCAGTATGGAAGCCAGTTGTACTCATACGTTTGTAGTGAGTAGGTTTCAACACTGTCAGGAGATCTTGCATAACAAAGTTAGTCATCTGGAATATCTTAAAGTGAAATAAGGACTGATAGTTGAATTTTTCCACAATAAAGTGAATAGGCCTCAGGAATGAATGCTAGGTGAAATTTAATGGTACTGTCAAGTCTATTATAAGAAATTCCACTTTTCGAAGAATGGTTGCGTTTCAAGGAATCGCCAGGTTTATAAATGTTGCCCTCCCTTTTTCAGTGAAGAGATTTGAAGGTCGGACCGACCAGAAGGCCAGGACAAATTCTCCTTGGCCAGTTGTCGGTTGGCCCCACTGGAATATTCTTGTTGATGCTGCTTTCGAAGAAATCTTCTTGAATTCCGGTACAAATGTGCCAAGCTTTCTTCCACCATATGAAGGGCCTCTTCCCAACAGGCAGTCATTCATATTCATATTCAAGCTAACGAGGACCCTTCAACCTGTTGCTCACTTCAAGTAGGAACCAGAGTGATGAACCAGTCTTTCCGAATGACAATCCTGAACGCAGTAACGGAGCTCAAAGCATACAAAAGTGTTAAGATGGCCTAAATGAGACGAAGGCGTTTGGATTAAAGAGAATCGTGAATGCGACAAATAGCCAAAAGTCAATATAAAGTGGGCATGAACAAGATCACTTATAGTTACATTCGTCCAGAATGATATGAGTGGACCCCAGGATACCAGTCTATGCCACTTAGTCTAGCCTCACAAAATATCTTCCCATTTAAAGTTGACTGTAGATTGGACCACTTGTAGCGCCCACTTCGTATTCACGACTAGCGGATGGTCGCGAAACTTATTAACTTAGTCGAGTGTTATGGTAAAATACTACTTTTTCAGTTAGTAGGTAGGCTTTCAAAAATCCAGTGTAAATGCAACTGTTAGGGTCAATCACCCACTAACTTAGTGAATGAATGTGACTCGACTTCCTTTCGATGGAAAGAATTCCCGAATTGGCATCACTACAAGTCGATCCATCCGCGTTGAGCCCACGTCTATCTCGAGATCATAGAAACCGATATTTACAAATAAATCACCAAGAGACTTTGGTAGTTTAAAGTATTGCTGTTCATTTGGTAAGATGGAACGAGAGTGGAAACACTTTTATGCGATCCTTCTTCGGTTCCCAGCGAGGCCAATTGACGAATCCCGTCCGAGAAAATTTACCTTCGAAACGGAAGAAGATTCTTAGCGTTGCTGGACAATCAACATGTCGACAGGACGACTATGAAGCAAGAACTCGACAATACATACTTGCCTGAATTCACTCGATCCAGGTGAAGAAGTTCGGATTCCTCTAGTCCTGCGTGTTCAACGTATGGCTGGTAGAACCGCATCTGATGAGGGCCAACTGGGGCCCCGGATACAAGAGATGTGTCGAACACGGGTCCTCTAAAACTGGACTCAGCAGCCCGTGCCTCAGATACCGAGTCGGTGAAGGGGATAGCCGCACTGGCAACTTTGCTCGGAGAAGCCGACAAGTAAATTTGCGCTGATGGCGCCGGAGGCCTCAGAGAGTCGGTCGTTGTGGTAGTGGCCCCCTGTCCGTACATGGGGACAGACAAACATTGGGCGAAGGTCAGGAAAAGGGGGCACAATGAAAAAAAAACAATGAGGTAAGGGTTGAGGGCCGCATTCGCGAAGCCTTGTTGGATCGGGAACTGATAATAGAAACTCAAACAGCATACACAAATGTGGTGCAGAGGTGTTCGGATGTACAGAAAAGCGCCAATCAACCAGTCCGCCATGACGACCAGGCTAGGGACTGACAAACTTTTTAAGAAGTTCCGAGTACATACTCTTCAGTCTTGCCAGAAGCGTGCCGAGCCATCGCCGTCTCAAGCCTCATCTGATGCTGGAATAAGCTGTAGACTGGCTAGCCGATTTAATGAAGGAATCGTCAACAAAAATAGAAGAATTAAGTATTGTTTTCATGACTACCAGTAAATCAGTATTCGCCCAATTTCGTTTAAGGTGATGAAGGACTGGTAGAAGAAGAATTTCCCCATAATCATATGAGTTGATCTGACGTTTCCATTGAATTCTACATAGCCCTGCTTTCCCAAAAGTTGTCCTCATCCCGACTGTAGCCGACTGCAGTTTCGACCTCGCATCGGTCTCATCAACATCCTCAGCGGGAGTCGAACCGCGACAGTGAGGATGGGAGCTTATCAAGCTAAACAATCGGCTACACTGGCACAAGCGCCTTTTGGGTCACAGGGCAAATGTGCATTTTCAAGGAAGGCCAGGCTTTTTTGGCATAATATATTCTTTTGGTGGGGTTTTCGATGAAAAAACGTATATCTGCTATAATTTATTTTTTGAATTAAGTATTGTTTTCATGACTACCAGTAAATGAGTAATATGAGATGTATTAACCCAATTTCGTTTAA